CTTTATATGTTGTGTTGCTGCAACTACTGCTGTCACTAGTCTGAAATACTAATGGAATACCTATACTACTCTCCCTGACTGAGGTGCAGTGGTCCAGGTCTGAAGGCGAGTGGGTGCAGTGAGTGTTGCCAACATGTAGCCTCCTGATCTCAGCATGACACAGCACTTTTCTGCACTGCAACCAACAGCCACCTCAGATTAATCCCCGTGATGAAAGCATGAGAGATGAAGAGAGATTCTGCAGCTGAGAGGAAAGAAAGTTGAATGAAAAACTGCATCCAGTCACGTCTTCACTGAACAGGAGCCATTAATATGTGTTTAAATGATGCTGAGCAGATTTCCTGCTTGGTTTTCACTGGCGGATCAGAAATATGAAAACTGTACCAGGCTCGTATGTGCAGGAGGATCAGGCTGCTGCAGTGGACAGTGTTTCTATCAAGTGTTGTCAAGGGCAAAGCGTGATGCACTGCACCAGCAGAAATCTGCCTCTGCACAAAGAACAGGAAACAGCAGCCACGTCTCCCAGGCTGAAAAAGCTGAATAATTTAAATGTGAATCAAAAATCTACACATTTTGTGAACATCTGTAACAAAATCTAGACAAAAAGAATAATGGAATTCATTTTTGAATGAAAATTTGGTTGCCAGTTCATCTAAAGTAAAAAAAAGAACAGCTTGTAAAATTCTTTGCATTTTTCATTTTAGTCAGTTATTTATTTATGAGGGTGGATTCTCAGCAACCAAAAAACAAAACAGACTCCGACTGTGGGAGAGAACTGGAGGAAATCCACACTGAGAGATGGAGATCACACAAAACCAAATGTAGTTTCTGAACAACACATTCAACGATTATCGAGATATAATCAACTGGAGGTGATTTGTTCTGTTAATCCTCCGGCAAAATGTTGAATGTGTTAATAAACCGTCAGTTATCACATTCTGCTCCTTCAGGTTGATCATTTCATTATTGTTATCAATGTCAAATGTCTTCACGCTCTAATGTTCAGAATCATTTTCCTCAGACTGTCCATCGCTGCAGCTCCTCTGTTCAGCCTCTGTCTCAAGCTTTTAGCTCCTGTCTCTTTAAGACCCCCCCCTCTTGAAGAAGCCCAGTCTGCTCTGATTGGTCGACAGCTTCCAACGTGTGAAAGAAAGGTCAGCCTCTTGGCTTTGTTAGGGGGCGTGTGTTATGCAAATGAGCTCTCCTATGACGTCCCCACGATGAGGACGTGACGAGACGTGTCAGACGACAGGAGCTAACATTCAAACAGACGAGGCCGGTCGTCAGGTACTTTTACATTTGTGCTGATGTTAAAGTTGATGTCATCGTATTCAATGTCGACTACAGGAACTTTGAAATGGACAAATGACCTGGTTGGATTCCATTATTCCATGATGCAAAGCATTGTGGGACCAAAGTATCTTTCACTTTATGAGCTTTTAACTTCACATCGAATCTACGAGTAACTCGTCGTTCAACCAACCAACTGAATCTTTTCATTCATCAAACACAACTTCCTGTTTGGAACCGAACCTCTTCAGAAGAAGAGTTTATATTTGACAGGAAGTGGAGTTGATGGCAGAAGACTCTGCAGATGCTGACTCATCACAAACTGAGACACATCGTAACTCTCCTGCAGAACTGACGAGCTGCCGTGACGTCACCGGTTTGAATCCACGACATGAACATCAGCTGTACTGAAACACTTGAAACTAGAGATTGAGAATAAACTCGTCATAAAGTGAGAAGTCATTTTCTCCCAGACTTCTATAGAAACAACCAGTGGGGTCGCCCCCTGCTGGTCACACAGTACAGGTTTCACACACATTCTAATTTTAAGAGATGTTTGTAAAGTAAAGTATTTGTCATCGTAACAGCAGAGACCAGAACATAACGTAAACCTGAAAAATGGAATGAATTCAACCAAACAGTGAAATCGTGGGTTCATTACACAAACTAGCGTAGCCGCAGCTCAGCGCTGTGACCTCTGACTGACGCCTGTGGTCAGAACACGTCTTAACGCCGAGCGTCGCACAACGAGTCAGAGCTGCTGTCAGAGAAGTCAAGAACCATTCGAGTTTCAAGGGACTGTGGTTCCTGAGGGCCAACACTGAAACAAGCTAAACCCCCCCCCCACACACAACACATGGATTCTGAAACCTTCGGCATAAATGTGGCGGCGTGGCGCTCCGATAGGGGGGGTGTGGCCTCCTGTACACAGACAATCAGACAACTGCTCTCTCGGGGGCCCGAGGCAGTTGCCCGCTCTACCTCCCCTGTTGCAACACCCCTGACACTAGTGGGCGGTCTACAGGTTCGGTGACGGTTCGAGGACCAGACGCTGAGTGAAGTGCTGATAAACAAGAACACGAAGTCCGAGACGTGTGATCGACTAACTGTCAGATACTCGTTTATTTCCTGAAGGTCGTCTTCTCTGCTGAAAACTCTGGACGTAGAGCGATAGCTCTGCCCTCAGCCCACATGTGATGCGTCTCCTTGTGGCCGGTGGAGTTAGTTCACATCCAGCCCAAAGATTAGAAACTGAATAAGAAACACTGGGAATTATTTTTGGTTCCACTAACATCTGTCTGGAAGGACGTTAATTCTTCTGGCGGAGCATCGTCCCTCTAAAACAATCATGGGGGGGTTGGTTCCTGGTCGTTGGTCCCTCACTGACTTCTCACCTGAACCATTTCTAATTCACAAGTCCAGCTCAGAATTCAACAGTCGGTGAGTTAATACAGAGATCATCAATCTGCTGATTAGAGGAGGCTAATCCTTCACTGAGCCCCCCCCCCCATCCCACCAGCGTCCCCTTCAATTAGCTAACCCACAGACGGGGTCATAAATCTCAGGGATGTGACTACAACAGGAGCGTCATGGCGGTGAGCCGCCGGCAGACAGGCAGTATTAGTGGGTTGTTTTTCCCTGCGGCGGAGGGATGGAGGGGGCATCAATTAGCCTCCAGCACAATCTGACCTTGAAATGGAGCACGGGCAGAAAACAGGAAGTCTCCCTGTACCACAGCCCGGAGTTTCAGTTTGTGTCGTGCATCATTTATTGATTTTCACTTTTTCATGACTGGAAATGTGCATGCACACGTTTTTAGGGACCGTAGCTGATACGTTCAAACATAAAGTGTCTGCGTGGCGTAGTTTGGGGGAGGGGGTAACACTAAAAGAGGAAATCACACATGTCCTCAGTGAGGTATGTTTAAAGTGTTGTGTCCTTCCTCTCTGTGTTGCAACATTTCAGAGGCTTAGTCACAGGCCTCTACGCCGGCGTCTGCAAGTCACAACGTGTCGGCTCTGAGGCAAAGTCCTGACAGAGACACTTCCTGGCTCAGGAGACACAACACAACGTTTACACAATCACTGCTCAAACATTTAGATCATTTTGTCTTTTTTTGGACATTTGACTTATTTTTTCTTTTGTCGCAGTCCAAGGTTACGCAGGACCACTTCCTGTGTGAGGACACCGAACATGCGTTGGGTACTTACAGATTTCTGGGACGATAATGTCGTTGAATTCCTGTGTGGACTGGGGGGTCTGCTTTTGGATGGTGGTACGTTCAGCGTTGTATTTCAGCTTCACAGAGGGATCAGACTGAGTGGAGTCCACTGCTGGAGTCTGAGGCGAGGACTGCCCTCGTGTAGACATCTCCTCCACTAAAACCTCGGGATATCCTGGTGTCATGGCGATGGTGGTGGTTAGGGACACGGGAGACGATGATGAATGAGGAATCGACACAGTTATTCCTAGCGTGGGGTCAACTGATATAATAATGGGGTCCTGTCCGATGCGTTTAGGATCTAAGTGTGTGGGGGGCTCGTACTCGAAGATCTTATCCACAAAGACCCACTTGAGGCCAGCGGTGCAGAGGGCTAAGCTGAGCAGACAGGCCAGGATGGGCAGGATGCAGATTTTCTCAGAGTGCAGGCAATTGTTAATCTGTTCCATCTCTATGCACACACAGCAAGTCCCTGGCAAGGCCACAATTCCCAAAGCCCCCAGATGCTCCCCATCACCATCACCGCCTCCCTCTGCAGCTCCCTCAGCACCCTCCTCCCCGCTCTCACCAGCTGCCTCCGTCTCCTCAGGTTTCGCCTTGGGGACTTGTCCAGTATCAACAGTGGAGCCGGTGGGGGAGGCAGATCCAGGAGGGGGGGCCGGCCCTGAGGAGAGGTCGTCCATTCCCTCAGTCATCCTGTCCAACCACCGGATGAAGAGTCTCCCGACACCTCAACTAGTAACTCAGGGCGTCACACGGCGGCTGTCCGCCACCAGACACCACCAGCACGTTTTCCATCATGATGCTGCAGAGTTTTCAGACGGAGGTGAAGCGCTCTTCAGAGTGAGTGGAAGCTTCTTAACAGTCTGAACAGAACCTTCTGCACACGAGTTCCTCACTCATGCTCTTTCACCACAAACACAAACGTCAGTCTTTCTACAGATTCGTCAAATTTGCTGCAAGCAAGAAAAAAAGATTTCCAGAGAATTAGAGTCCTTGAATGTTCCGTACGTTCAGTGGAGAGCGGAGGAGGTGGAGTCACTCACCTGAGCACTTGGGCAGAAGAGGCGTAGTGATGGGCCGGCTGCAGCAGCTGGAGGGCAGAGGACGGGACGGATGCTGCAGAGGACGGGACGGATGCTGCAGAGGACGGGTCGGACGCTGCAGTGGCGGGACGGACATGCTCTCTGGTCTGTGAGATCCAAGCAGCTGAAAGGCTGAATCATCAGGGAGCGGCAGGTGCCCTTCCTCTGCCACAGAAACAGATGAGTAAGGGGAAAGAGAGAGAAAGAGAAAGAGAGGGAGCAGCAGGAGGAGGGAGGGGGCTGCAGCAGAGAAGACGGGACACTCCCCTTCTCTCACCCCTCCTCTCTCTCACTCCGTCCTCTCAGCAGACCTCCTCCCTCTCCACCTCTCTTCCTGTCTGCTGGTGTGTCCCGGCTCCCAATCCCAGCTCAGAGCATCAGCAAGTTCCGACTTGATCCAATTAGAGCGAGCGTCGGCCAATCACACGCCAGCACACTGCCCCCCCCCACACAACCACTCCCCATTGATTATGCTGATACTGAAGGGTGTGTTTCTATCAGGGGGAAGGAGCCACACAGGCAGACACACAATCCAGCACGAGGACGCAGCCATTGTGTCTTCCCAAGTATCTGCAGTCAGGGTTAGTGTGATAACACAACAAGACAATACAACAAGACAACAGGACAAGACAACAACACAACAAGACAAGACAACAACTCAACAAGACAAGACAACAACACAACAAGACAAGACAACAACACAACAAGACAAGACAACAACACAACAAGACAAGACAACAACACAACAAGACAACAACACAACAAGACAACAACACAACAAGACAACACAACAAGACAACACAACACAACAAGACAATTTGATAATGAAGAAGTCCATTCAACTGACACTCTTGATGTGTGTGTGTGTATATATATATAATATATATGTGTGTGCGCGCACACGCTCATGTCTATAGCTATAAGGGCCAATTTTGACTCAGTTCCATCAC